AGGATTTTGATTTTTGTCTTACATTTAGATCTTTCAACCATTTTGAGTTTATCTTTGTGTATGGGGTAAGAGAATGGTCAGGTTTCATTCTTCTGCACGTGTCTGTCCAATTTTCCCAACACCATTAATTGAAATGACTGTCCTTTTTCCAGGGGATAGTCTTTCCTGCTTTGTCAAATACTAGTTGACAACAGAGCTGAGTGCCCATTTCTAGGTTCTCTATTCTGTTCCATTGATCTATGAGTCTGTTTTTGTGCCAGTACCATACTGTCTTGATGATCACAGCTTTGTAATACAGCTTGAAATCCAGCCTTGTGATGTCCCAGGCATTGGTTTTCTTTTTCAATATTTCTCTGGCTTGTTGGGGTCTTTTCTGATTACATATAAATCATAAGATTGTTTGTTCCAACTCTCTGAAGAAAGTCCATGGTATTTTGATAGGGATTGATTGAACATGTAAATTGCCCTGGGTAGCATATCCATTTTCACAATATTAATTCTTCCAATCCATGAGTATGGAGTATTTTTCATCTCTTTGTGTCTTACACGGTTTCTTTCAGAAGTGTTCTGTAGTTTTTTTCTGGTATAGATCCTTTACCTCTTTGGTTAGGTTTATTCCTATGTATCTTATGCTTTTTGGTGCAATTGTGAATAGGATTGATTCTTTAATTTCTCATTCTTCTGTCTCATTGTTAGTGTATAGAAATCCAACTGGTGGGCATCCCTGGTGGCTCAGTGGTTTAGCGCTGCCTTCAGCCCAGGGCCTGATCCTGGAGACCCAGGATCGAGTCCCGCATTGGGCTCCCTGCATGGAGCCTGCTTCTCCCTCTGCCTGTGTCTCTGCCTCTCTCTCTCTTTCTGTGTCTCTCATGAATAAGTAAAATCTTAAAAAAAAAGAAATCCAACTGGTTTCTGTGCATTGATTTTGTATCCTAGCCACACTGCTGAATTGCTGTATGAGTTCTAGCAGTCTTGGGGTGGAGTCTTTTGGGTTTTCTATATATAGTATCATGTTATCTGTCAAGAAGGTGAGTTTGACTTCTTCTTTGTTAATTTGAATGCCTTTTTTTTTAATTTGAATGCCTTTTATTTCTTTTTGTTGTCTGATTGCTGAGGCTAGGACTTCTAGTACTATGTTGAATAACAGTGGTGAGAGTGGACGTTCTTGTCATGTTCCTGATCTTAGGGGAAAGGCTCTCCATTTTTTCACATTGAGAATGATATTCACTCTGGGCTTTTCATAAATGGCTTTTAAGATATTGAGGAATGTTCCCTCTCCTCTACACTTTGAAGAGTTTTAATCAGGAATGGTACTGTATTTCATCAGATGTTTTCTGTACATCTATTAAGAGGATCATATCATTCTTGTTTTTTCTCTTGTTGATGTGATCTATCACGTTGATTGTTTTATGAGTGTTGAACCAACCCTGCATCCCAGGAAAATCCCACTTGGTCATGGTGAATAACCCTCTTCATGTACTGTTGGATACTATTGGCTAGTATCTTGGTGAGAATTTTTGCATCCATGTTCATCAGGGATATTGGTCTATAATTCTCCTTTTTGGTGGAGTCTTTGTCTGGTTTTGGTACCAAGGTAATGTTAGCCTCAGAAAATGAATTTGGAAGTATTCCCTCCCTATCTTTCAAAACTGCTTTAGTAGAATAGGTATGGCATTTTTCCTTAAATGTTTGATAGAATTCCCCTGGGAAGCCATCTGGCCCCTGTACTTTTGTGTCTTGGGAGGTGTCTGATGACTGCTTCAATTTCCTCACTGCTTATTGGGCTGTTCAGGTTTCCTATTTATTCCTGTTCCAGTTTTGGTAATTTGTGGTTTTCCAGAAATGCATCCATTTCTTCTAGATTGCCTAATTTGTTGGCATATAGCTGCTCATAATACATTTTTTAAATTGTTTTTATTTCCTTGGTATTGGCTGTGATCTCTCCTCTTTCATTTGTCATTTTGTTAATTTGAGTCTTTTTTTCCTTTTAATAAGGCTGGCTAGGGGTTTATCTATTTTATTAATTCTTTCAAAGAACTAACTCCTGGTTTTGTTGATCTGTTCTACAGTTCTTCTGGTCTCTATTTCATTGAGTTCTGCTCAAATCTTTATTAATTCTCTTCTTCTGCTTGGTGTAGGCTTTACTTGCTGTTCTTTCACCAATTCCTTTAGGTGTGAGGTTAGCTTGCATATTTGATTTTTTTTCAATTTTTTGAGAGAGGCTTGTATTGCAATGTATTTCCCTCTTAGAACCGCTTTTGCTGTATCCCAAAGATTTTGAGTGGTTCTATCTTCGTCTTTTTAATTCTCCTCTAATTTCCTGATTGACCAATTAATTTTTTTTTTGTAGGTTGCTCTTTAACCTCCATGTGTTTGAGTTTCTTTCACATTTCTTCTTGTGATTGAGTTCTAGTTTCAAAGCATTGTGGTCTGAAAATATTCAGGGGACAATCCCAATCTTTCATTATCAGTGGAGACCTGATTTGTGACCCAATATGTGGTCTATTCTGGAGAAAATTCCATGTGCACTTGAGAAGAATTTGTATTCAGTTACATTCAGATGGAAAGTTCTGTATATATCTGTGAAATCCATTTGGTGCACTTTATCATTTAAGGCCCTTGTTTCTTTGGCGATGTTCTGCTTAGAAGATCTGTCATTTGCTGAAAGTGCCATGTTGAGGTCTCCTACTATTAGTGTATTATTATCTAAGAATCTCATTACTTTGGTTATTAATTGATTGATATAATTGGTAACTCCCACATTAGGGGCATAAATATCCATGATTTTTAGATCTTCTTGTTGGGGGATGTCTGTGTGGCTCAGCGTTTAGCGCCTGGCTTCCGCCCAGGGCATGATCCTGGGGACCCAGGATCGAGTCCCACATCAGACACCCTGCATGGAGCCTGCTTCTCCCTCTGCCTGTGTCTCTGCCTCTCTCTCTCTCTCTCTGTATCTCTCATGAATAAATAAATAAAATCTTGAAAGAAAGAAAAAAATCTTCTTGTTGGATAGAACCTTTAAGTATGATATAGTGCCCCTCTTCATCTCTTACTACAGTCTTTGGTATAAACTTTAATTCATCTGATATTAGGATTGCTACCCCAGCTTTCTTTGAGGAACATTTGAATGGTAAATGGTCCTCCACCCCTTCATTTTCAGGCTGGAGGTGTCCTTAAGTCTAAAATGAGTCTCTTGTAGACAGCATATAGATGAATCTTGCTCTTTTATCCAGTCCAATACCCTGCATCTTTTGATGGGATCATTTAGCCCATTCACATTCAGAGTAACTATTGAAAAATATGAATTTGGTGTCATTGTATTACCTATTTAGTCCCTGTTTTTGTGGACTGTTTCTTTGGGCTCCCTCTTTCTTTTACAGGGTCCCCCTTAATATTTCTTGCAGAACGGTTTGGTGGTCACATATTCCTTCAGTTTCTGCCTATCTTGGGAGATATTTCTCTCTCCTTCTATTCTGAATGACAGCCTTGCTGGATAAAGTATTCTCGGGTGCATGTTCTTCTCATTTTGTACCCTGTATATATCATGCTAGCCCTTTCTGGCCTGCCAAGTCTCTATGGAGAGGTTTGCTGTTAATCTCCCTATATGTTAAGAATCTCTTGTTTCTTTCTTCTTTAAGAATTTTCTCTTTATTTTTGAAATTTGCAAGTTTCATTATTAAATGTAGAGGTGTCGAATGGTTTTTATTGATTTTTGGGTGGGTCCTCTCTATCTCTTGGATCTCAATGCCTGTTTCCTTCCCCAAATTTGGGAAGTTCTCAGCTATGAATTGTTCAAATATACTTTGTGGTCCTCTCTCTCTGTCTCTCAACCTATTCTGGAATCCCAATTAGATGTATATTCTTCCTTTACAAGCTATCATTTATTTCCCTAAGCCTTTTCTTGTAGGCTCTTGTTTTTCTCTTTTTTCCTCAGCTTCCTTTCTTACCATCAAATTGTCTTCTATGTCACTCACTCTCTCTTCCACCTCATTAACCCTGGCCGTTAAAACATTCAGTTTGCATTGCATCTCATTTAATCTATTTTTAATTTCGACCTGATTAGATCTCAATTTTGCAGTAATGAAGCCTTAGAGTCCTTTACACTTTTTTCCAGAGACACCAGCTTTTTTAAAAAAATATTTTATTTATTTACTCGTGAGAGACACAGAGAGAAAGGCAGAGACACAGGCAAAGGGAGAAGCAGGCTCCCTGCAAGGAGCCTGATGTGGGACTCAATTCTGGGACTCCAAGATCACACCCTGAGCCAAAGGCAGATGCTCAACAGATGAGCTACCCAGGTGTCCCATTAAAGTTCCCACTTCTCCAGGGCTGGGCTTTCATGCCCTGGAGGCTCTCAGTGCTCCACTTTAGCCTGGCTAGTTGCAGTTCCTGTCCTCCACTTTATTCTTTTTCATTTTTTCATCTTCCACCTTGTTAGAAAGGTTAGAAAAATTTTCTCTCTGTACCATTACAGCTACTTTCTTTTTAAATCTCAGGTCAAATTCATAGGTGTTCAGGATATTTTGAAAGTTACCTATGTAACTTTGTGGGGCCAGGTTGGTTGAGGACCTCTACTCTTCCGCCATATTGCCCCTCCTTCCATCCATCCATTTATTTATTTATTTATTTATTTATTTATTTATTTTTAAACATTTTTTTAAAGATTTTATTTATTTATTCATAGACACAGAGAGAGAGGCAGAGACACAGGCAGAGAAGCAGGCTCCATGCAGGGAGCCCGACGTGGGACTCGATCCCAGGTCTCCAGGATCACACTCCAGGCTGCAGGCGGCGCCAAACCGCGGCACCACCAGGGCTGCCCTCCATCCTTATTTTTAATAAAGAAATTTGCCATTTACATTTAGTGCCACCCTATATAATTGATACCATTCTTACAGTTCTATGGCTATTTTTTTAGGATTGATTATTTATTTATTTATTTATTTATTTATTTATTTATTCATTCATTCATTCATGAGAGACACACAGAGAGAGGCAGAGACACGGGCAGAAGGAGAAGCAGACTCTTCTCAGGGATCCCAATGTGGGACTCGATCTTGGGACTCCAGGATCACATCCTGGACCAAAGGTAGGAGCTCAACCGCTGAGCCACCCAGGCTTCCCTATTATATTCTTTCTTTCTTTCTTTCTTTCTTTCTTTCTTTCTTTCTTTCTTTCTTTCTTTCTTTCTGATAGTCATACAGAGAGAGAGAGAGGCAGAGACACAGGCAGAGGGAGAAGCAGGCTCCACGCACCGGGAGCCTGACGTGGGATTCGATCCCGGGTCTCCAGGATCGCGCCCTGGGCCAAAGGCAGGCGCCAAACCGCTGCGCCACCCAGGGATCCCATCCTTCTTTCTTTCTTTCTTTCTTTCTTTCTTTCTTTCTTTCTTTCTTTCTTTCTTTCTTTCTTTTTCTTTCTTTCTTTCTTCTTTCTTTCTTTCTTTTTTTCTTTCTTCCTTCCTTCCTTCCTTCTTTTTCTTTCTCTTTCTTTCTTTCTCTTTCTTTCTTTCTTTCTCTTTCTTTCTTTCTTTCTTTCTTTTTTCTTTCTTCTTTTTTTACCTGAATTTTTGCTCATACATTCTATTTTTTCTTTTTGCTATTTTAGAAGTCTTACTCTACTTTTCCATTTCACTGGTTGTAATTTCCCACTCTGACACCCCTTACACATAACATCTTACCTCATGAATATTAGATATTATAGAGGACGTGAATTATATTCAACCCACTGATTCTCCATGTCTACTCCTACTGTGAGGAAAGATTAATACATTAGAATGTTTTTGCTTCCTCTTCAATAGCTGGGTGTTTTAACTACATGCAAGTAACAGAATGGCCCAGCCAACTGGCCTTAACAATAAGAAACTTGTTGCGTATACCAGAACAAAGATGATAGCAAGATTGGGTCAGTGGATGGCAAAGACACTGCAGATCTAGACACTTGCCATTTTTCTGTTATGCCACCCTCCACGGGCCGATAAGATGACTGTAGCAGTTGTCTTCACAGGGACAACCATCAAGAATAGTAATCTTGCCTAGGATTAGGTCACATTCCCATATCTATAGCAATCTCTGGTAAAGAGAGTGGAATTCCCGAGTGCCTTCTGCAAATCCACATTCACCCCAGTGACTGAGAGGTGTGGGAAAATCAGCACCTGAAAGAATTGGGAATAGAAAAACAAGCAGTGGGGTACTAGCCGGTGGATACAGTGTGCAAGGTAAATCGTCTTTTAAAAGTAGAAAATATCAGCTCACATACCAGCAAGTGCTGAGGCAGGGGGCTTTTGGGCTTGGAGAGGCATTATAGGTCCAGGTTCCTTCCACTTTCCTTTTTTGTTGTTTTGGCAGCACTTCTCATTAAGCCTCATTGTGTTCTCATGGTGACTGCTACAAATCCAGGGTCACATCCTGACACAATAACATTTAGGCAGAGAAGAGATGATTGTAACTCTTTTAAATGGCTCACAAACCTTTCATGAAACTTCTGAGTGTACCTCCTCTCATGCCCCTTTCCTAAATCCCCTTTTCTTCCATCTCTGGACCCTGTTCCCTTGCTCTTTTTCCTCCTAAGTCCCATGATTCTAATTCCAGACATAAACACCCCTCCCCATATTTTTTATGTCACTTGAAGGATTGTTTCAAACTTGGCATTCTAGTAGGTCCTGACATACCCAAATGTCATGAGTGATGTTGGAAGTGGTGGCAATTGTGAACAAGGTTCTTGGAAAAGAATGAGAACCATATACCTTGGTGGATGCAGATCCCAAGTACTTGTCTATCCATTAGCTCATTCTCTATTCTGAAATAACCTCCACTCTCACTGCCAAAGCCCTATTTCAGTCTGACCCTACATACAGCCCAGAAGAATTACTTTAATCCTTTGCATTTTAGTGTTTATCTTTTATGACCTTCCATATTCTTCTAAGTATAACTGAAGACCCTGGGGATAGGTGAATAATTCTGTGTCTTTGGATTGTTTTCTCCAGGCATTCAAGGACTGCTTGTTGAACAAGTGACCAAAAGCATGTAGACCTCCCAGCTCTGCCACTTCCACTTCTGTCCCTTTGGACAACTTACTGAGTTTCCTCCTGTTCACCCACAATTGAGGAAGAATACTGACGAATTGGCAAGGTTATTGTGGGTGCTAAGAAGATACTGAAACCAAGGAGGGGCTCTGATGGTTGTCCACATCGTTGGCTGTTATTAAATGCCAGATTTCAAGAGTATAAGGGTGGTTGTTTCTATGTTCTGTGATCTGAGGGTCTGAGGAAGTAGAAAGCCAGGTATCAGCTTGTGAACTGGACCATTTTCTCCAGCTTTCAGATGATTCATAATTATACCTCATCCATTTCCACAAGTGCAGCTGCCTCTACCCCAGATGTTACATTTGCACCCCTTTCTAGCAGACAACAGTCCTTGTGCCAAGCTCACAAAAGTCTGAGCATCCTACTAACCCATATTGTGGTGAGTTTTCCTACCTAACCAATCTCCACATTTCTGTGAGAACAGAGTGTCATCCCACTAGAACTAAACCACTAGTTCCCTTCAGGTTGCCAATCCTAGGCACAGTGCCTGCCCCCATTCCCTCCCACAGATCCAGTGCTTCCTGTTGAGGTATACCATCCTTTAGTGCACAGATCAGCACCTCTTGGTAGAAATTTGCAAATCACATATACCTCCTGCTTTAGTTTGCTAGCACTGCAGAAATAAATTACCACAAATTTAGCGGCTTGAACAACACAGATATGTTTTTTACCATCCTAGAGGTTGAAATCGAGGTGTCTCCAGGACTGTTTATTCTGAAGACTCTAGGGAATGAGTCAGTTTCCTTGCCTTTTCCAGCCTCTAGAAGCTACTCACATCCCTTGGCTTATAGCCCTGCATCACTCCAATCCCTGCTTTTGTCATTGTATCTTCCTCTCTTACTTGGACCCTCTTATTTATTTCTCCATTATTTGTTTATTTATTCATTTATTTATTTATGAGAGACAGACAAAGAGAGAGAGTCAGAGACACAGGCAGAGGGACAAGGCCCCATGCGGGGAGCCTGACATGGGACTCAATCCTGGGTCTCCAGGATCAGGTCCTGGGCTGAAGGAAGCACTAAATGACTGAGCCACCCAGGCTGCCCTTTTCTCCCTTTTATGGTGACTCTTGTGATGACACTGAGCCCATGAGGATAATCCAGGATGATCTCCCGGTTTCAAAATCCTAGCATAATCACATCTGCAAAGTCCCTCTGGCCATGTGAAACACAATTTTCAGAGGTTCTGGGGACTAGCATGGACATCTGTGGGGCCATTACCCTGCCTCCCATGGTCCCCCAGGAGATTCAGACACATTGAGCCCTGATGGCAAACTTGTGAGGGTAATGGTGGGTGCTGCTATTATCATGCGTGAGTGGGAAAAGATGGGAAATCAACAGTTTCACATATTCAAATTCTGCATCATTACATCCAACTTTAAAGAAAGTAAGAGCTCTTCCATTCACTTCAGAGATGAATTTCTCTGACCTAAAGCAGTCAACTGGGTTTCAAATTTGGCCACTTTCATTAAGTGACTCCAAACCTCAGGGGCCCTGGATAAGCGGCTAGGCAAGCCTACTCTCATCCATTCACCCCCTCTGAAGGGTTGATATTCCTTCTCCTCATTCACCACAGAACACTGTGTAGCCTTGTCACTGTTTCAGCTGACACCACTTCTCATTTCACTGAGGGAACAGAAAACCCCAGCATCCTTTATGACCTCATCTCATGGAAGATACACAGCATAACTTCTGCCCACCCTACAGATGGAAGCAGTCAGAAGCCCAACCAGATTCTAGGAATGGAGGAATGGTAAAGAATTTCTGTATTTGAAACAACCACAGATGTGAAAGCAGTACTGCTCACCTTTCAGTGACCATCTTCTGGCAATAAATCAGTGTATGTCATTTCAGGATAAATTGACCTCATTTGAGGGCATGGCTATGACTTTCACCAGTGGGCACTGGGCATAATGGTGAGGTCACTCCCAAGGTAAACAAACATCTCTACATCATCAGGACTTGGAAAAGGAACTGCTGATGTTCTCCACTGAAAACTGCTCTGTCCTGGAAAGATCTCCAACTGTGTAGTGGGAAGGCAGCAGGCCCTGGCAAGTTCTTTAAGCCCCTAGATGTTAACTCTCTCAAAGAAGCTAACATGTGAAGAGGTTTAAATGTGATATAGCAGCCATGAGCCCTGTGCCTAATGCATGAAGAACAGGACAGCTGGTGTGCCATCACCATTCTCTAGGCACATGTCCTCCTGGCTCCCCTTGTCGGTCTCCAGGAGCTATTCACTCCTGTCGAGAAAGGAACAAGACATACTCATTCCAGAAGCCATGACTGTGCCTCACCCTTGTCAGCATGAACCCAAGGACTCTTTTAAGAGGCATGCCCAGCAGCACTCAACCAATACGTGATGTGCCTAAGTTCAATATCTGACCCAGAATTTTAGAACATGTTTTGAAATATTATGCACAACTCAAGAAAACAGAGGTGGAGTTGTAGAGCAAGAGATGGGATGGGTTGCAAGTTATAGACTATATGACCTGGAGAAAGGATTTTAATCTGTCCTTTCATGTAAAACGTGAAATATGGGCATCAGACACATATGCTAACACTGCCAGTCTCCTGCTGCTTAACTTGGTGATGAGCATCCAGCCAGGGTAGTTCCTTCCATTGAAGGAGTCCTGTAGAAAAAGTAGAAATGAATCGAATGAACATTCCTGGGAAGTTCCCACACTTCCCTCTAGACCTCCAATGGTTGCTTGAGATTCCCATTCCCTGAACCTAACATTCCCCACATGCTGATGTTCTAAGGATGAGAATGACACACTCATCCTAACTCATTTGGAATCTTGGACTAGAAGGACTGCAGCCTTTAACAGAGTCATCTAGATCTGAGCTGACAGTCTCCATTTTGTCTTAATGCTGCTTACTTTGAATATCAAATTATTAATGAAAAGGTATTTAATAAGTGGGAAAAACACACAGATTCTATCACAGAAATATAGTTTATTTATCCTTGTTCTTTCTTAGTCCTTGACCATATGCATAAATACTTTACCACAAATATATCAGTGCACAGACTTTTTGGTACCTGGCTTTTTAAATTTATATTAAAAGCATTTTTCAGGTTTCACTAGTATCATTTTTAATGACCAAATGAGCAAATTATAAAAGCAAATTAAGTGAGTGAAAAATTAAATATTTTTCCAACTTATGTTCATTAGCAACAACCCCCCAGCAGTTTTATTTCCTCATGTGCAGGGTGTTATCCCTGGTTGTCCTTTGGTCTTCAGAACATCATCACTCAATGCTGCTTTTCACATTCAGTTCTGAATGCCAACCAGGCCCATTCAGGTTACTTTGCAGTTTGCAGGATAAGGCTGAAAAGGCAATGTTCTTCAACCGGCTCAGCTGGAGGGCTATGAGGTAGGTTGTTTCTTCTTGTATTTCACCCCACCGTGTGTCTTCTGATGCCCAATGAGGTGGGAGCTCTGCGTGAAGGCCTTTCCACATTTGTTGCACATGTAGGGGCGCTCCCCAGTGTGCGTCCTCTGGTGCCTAATAAGATGGGAACTCTGGCGGAAGGCTTTCCCGCAGTCCTGACACTGGTAGGGCTTGGCTCCAGTGTGAGTCCGCAGGTGCTGGGAGATGGCCGAGCGGTCATTGAAGGTCCGCCCGCACTCATGACACTCAAATGGTCTCTCTCCAGTGTGAACTCTCTGATGCTGTGTGAGGGAGGAGCTCTGAACAAATGCTTTCCCACAGTCCTGACACACGTAAGGCTTCTCTCCTGTGTGGATTTTTTTATGTACAGAGAAGTATCTTGGGTTCCGGAAAGTTTTGCCACACTCACTGCATCGGCAAACTTGGCTCCCTTTGTGGATTCTTGTGAATGTAATCTGCTGAGTGCTCCGGCTGAAGGCTCTCCCACAACTAGTATTTTCCCTGGCTTTTTCTCCTTTGTGGCCCTTCTGATGAATTTTTACACATGGACCACGTGTCACCTTCTTAACCCGTGAGCCACGCTTGCGCAAGCGTTTTCTAGGGAGAGTTTTCTGGAGTGAAATATGGCTTGTGACAACGCCAGTGTTTGCCTGGGATTGGGGACTTTTCTGAGGGAGGGTTTCTTCCTGAGTTGGCCCCACCTGCCTCTGTGCTGTGTCCAAGACTTCCGGGGCCTCACCCTGTAAGACATCTCTTGAGGTAGGGGACCTGGTGTCATTCCTTGAGAATTTTTCCAATTTCAGGTCATGGGCTGGTTCCTTCTCAGGAACATCAGACTTTGGAGTTAACTCTTTACTTTCCAGTGTAGTCTCCCACCCTGAAAGAACCCAAAAGATCCAGATACTATAGAAAGTGCTAAAAGGGCTGATAATATGACATAATCAAGTACTAAAAAGCTGCCCCCCCCCCCCAATACAGTCGTACAACCTGGGGGAACAGCAAAAACCAGTGAAGCAGCAAAGAGAGGAACACTGAGCTTGGCAATTGGGTATAGGGCTAGAACTGGGAGCACTGTCCAGGCTCTCCAACTCCTCTTATGCCTTCAAGGTGGGGAGCAAGTCAGTCCTTCGCTGGACCTGAGGCTGCTGCTATCCACACAATGCCCACCCCTCCAGCTCCACAGGGCCAACTGAAGGCATGGATGGTGCAAGGAATTCTTGAGGGCATGCCTAGTTCTCACACTGGGCCCAGAAAAGGCACAGCCCCAACTCAGGGCCTCTGGTGCTCCCAGTCCCAAAAGGGTGGAGTGGTCAGCATGGGCACTTACCCACGGAGACCAGGTGTCCAAAGGTTTCCAGCATCACGTCATGGTACTCAGTTCTCTGCATGGGGTCCAGTAGCCCCCATTCTTCCTTGCTGAAGTCCACAGCCACATCCAGGAAGGTCACTGGTTCCTGCAATGCCACATTCTGTGTCTGCTCAGCAGAAGGTTCAGTGACAGGGACAGAAGGAGGACTACCAGGGTCTCGCAACTGCTGTGCTGATGATACCCCTGCTCTGGGGTTTGCTTAGAACCATGACTTGGGCCATAAGATGCCCAATGGGTACCTTCTCACAAAATCAAAGTCTGGGGCCCAGGTTGGAGGCAGAGTCCTTGCTTCACTAAGAGCTACACTAAGCAAACTGCCCCCACTCTACCTAACCCTATCTGCAGTTTACCCTTTCTCTGCAACTTCCCATAGAAGACTGCACTTCAGACAAGCCCCACCACTAGGCACACCCCCTTCTTCTGGTAATAGTGCCTCTACATGTGGTGGAACCAACCCCTGCCTTTGTGGACTGGGGCTGCCTGGGGGTGAGGTAGCCAAAGGCTGCACCGAGATCAGTCTTTTCTGGGAAGCTGGCCAGAACTCTAGGAGGAAGAGGCCTCCCCATGGCACTCTGCCTGGATCTAGGAGGGGCAGAGCCTGCTTGAGAAGGAATGGGAGAAAACAGAGCCACTAGACCAGGACCAGAGCATTCCTCTCTCTTATCTCTTGGAAGCCCCTGAATACAGCCTTGCCTGAAGCCTACCCCAGACCACTCATGTGAGAGCCAATAAGTTCACCTTATGCTTAAGCCAGTTAGGAGCCACTTACAGCAGAGAGTTGGGACCAATGCCACACATACCATCACTCAATCACATTCTCTGAGCCTCAATAGTTGATAAGGCAGGGACAGTGCTGTTTCATCTATGCCCTGGATCTGAGATATTCTGAGGCAAATCCCAGACATTGTTTCTGTTATAAACACCTAAATATGCATTTCTGAAGGACGAGGGCTGTCTTGTTCTCACCCAGATCCAGACGTGGTCCCAAACACCCATAAACACTTGGCCTCTCCCTTCTGCCTTCAAGTTTCTGGATTTCCTATTGCTGTGCCCTTCCTTGGTCCCCATGGTGATAGCAAGGCCTTCCCGCTCAGAAACTCTGAAAGGCCTGGCCTGTGGTGGGCTGCCGGCCCAGGGTGGGGGTGGCGGTTGGGGAGAAGGGTTGTCACCTCACAGGGGATACTATGACCAGAGAAGGAAATGGTAGCACTCCCCACTCACCTCAGGCAGTGCCTTCACTGGCCAGGTGGTCATGTTCTCTTCCTTCTCTTCCTGAGGAGTTGTGGTCTGGAGAGAGCTGGTGGGGCCCTGGGAGGGTGATGCTGGGAAGAGACATCAGCACAGTGGATCAGCTGGGTGCGGTGCTACTGTGAGGGCATCTGTGCTCCAGCCTTTTCCCCTACCAGCTCAGATCCCTACTCTGGCTCCTCTTCACAGCCCATGCCCAAATCCCCACACCTGGATAGCTCAGGATGCATCACCCAATGTGATATAGAGCACTGATGTCCCCACTGCTGAGCCCCTGATCTCACTCTCTCTCCCTCCAAGGACTGTTCTGGACTCAATCCCTCCCCTGAAGCAGCTGCCTCATCTCCCCATTCACCTTAGCAGCTGGCCTCACACCTGACCTCAGAAGCAAAGAACCCCCTCCCCGCCCCAAAATTTTTTTTAAATGGAAAAAAAAAAAAGAAGAAGAAGCAAAGACCCCATTTCTGGCCTCTGAGTACTCTACCCTCTTCCTCTTTCTCATTTTTTCCATTGGACATCCTCTGACCCCCAGGACCAGATCTATTCTTGTAACACACCTATCTTAACAATTGTTTTATCAAGTTTCCTCCATATTAGAAAACACCTCTGCCTGATCTTAAGGCCCCTTTCAACCATAGCTCCTTCATGTCTGACTCTCTTCATCTGTCCCCAGCTGGTCCATGGGCTTCCATAATTGACTCCACCCCCACTCTCAAGAGGAACACATGATGTGACCCAGGCTAACCCGCCAGGCTGCCCCTTCCTCCCGGCCATAATGACTGGATCATGGATGAAGATGGGGCCCACTGCTAGACAATCAGAGCCAAAGAGGCTTTTGTTGGAACATTTAGGAAAGAGAAATTCTGTGCAGTGAGGCCCCACATGAAGACAGCTTGCCTTAGTGAGTAAAGCTAACAGAGGCCAGCAGAAATATCATAGAGAGGATGAGTCCTGAGGACACTACAGGAGTCCTGGGTCCAGTCATGCCTGAAGTTAATAGACTGCCCTGGGCCTTTTTCAGTAAATTCTCCCCTGGCATTCACAACCAAGAGTCCCAACTAACTTGCTGATCACAAAAGCAGGATTCTTAGAGTTCTCTGGAAGGCCTCTTTCCACCATCCTCTGTGATATTGATTTCATTCACCCCCAAGATGTGAAATAAAAGACAAACTGGCTTTTGTCTTATGAGTTCCAAGACTGTCCCCTTGGCATCTCTATCAGTTTCCTATTGCTGCCTTAACAAATTGCCACAGCAGTGACTAAAAATAATGCAAATTAGCTTTCTTATGATTACGGAGATCAGAAATCTTGACACCAGCCTCACTGGGCTAATAAAATCAAGGTGTTGGAAGGGCTACCCTCCTTTTGGAGGTTCTAGGGAAAAATATATTCCTTACCTTTCCCAGTTTCTAGAGGCCACCTAGAATGACTCCTGGCCCTTTCTCATGTCACCCCCACTTTGGGGGTCACCTATCTTCTCTGCCCCTAAATTTCATGGCTGACTTTTTATAGGTACCCTTGTGATTACACTGGGCCCACCCAAATAATGCAGGATGATCTCCCCACCTCAAAATTCTCAATTTAATTAACTGCATCTACAGTCACTCTGTGTGAGATTATATATTCAGGTAAGCAAGAAAGCAGTGTCCGTGCTTCATGAAACTCAGCCCGACAGAAATCAAGTTTCATGCAATCTCACCTCCAAATGCACCCTACATATTTGCTCCCATCTCAGCTCCCCACCACTGTCACTCCTGCCCTAGCCACTACACCTCTTGGAGGACATAGTAACAGCTCTAGGTGGCCAATCTGCTTCTCATTTTGAGCTTGTTCACCGTTCACCATCCAGAGCAAGCTGCAACCTGGTACATCTTTAGAGCTCAATCAGACCAAGCCATGTGTCCCTAGGGAGAGCTCATGGATTGGTTACCACTGCTTTATACTTCTCATTGCTTTAGGACATGAAAATCCCTTCAAAGGCCCCATCAGCCCTTCCCCTGCTCCCTTGTACTACAGATTTACCCAATTTGTCTCCAATTTTGGAGTATACTGTTATTGCTCCCACTTTGGGCCTTCATAGGTGATAGTCCTCTGCTTGGCACATCCTTCCTGCCCACTTCTCTCTCTTTTTTTAAAGATTTACTTATTTGAGAGAGAGAGAGAGAATGCACATGTGCACACACACACTGTGGGGGCGGAGAGGAGGATAGAGGGTGATGGAGAGAGACAGAAGCAGATTCCCGGCTAAGCAGGAAGCCTGCCATGCAGCTGGATCTCATGACCTGATCAGAAATCAAACCACTTACATGCCTCCTTCCTGTCCACTTCTAAGTTAACTCCACACCAGATGTTAGCTACAGCAACTTACCTCCAGGAGCTCCGCCAGCACCTTTGAGTTCTTCTCATCCCCACTATTGTCACAGGCATATCTGTTCGTCAAATTGCTATCCTTCCTGCTGGACCTAAGTCTTGTTGAGCTCATGAACCTGAGTCCTTTCTTGGTCACCACTTTATCTACAACCCCCACCAACTGCACAACATTGGAAGGCACTCTGGCAGGGGCACCTGGCTGGTTTAGTTGGTAGAGCATGTGACTCTTTATCCTGAGGTTGAAAAGTCTGAAACTCATGTGCGGGCAGTGTAGAAATTACCTAAAAAAATAGTATCTTAAAAAAACCAATGCATTCTGGGAATATGCTTAAGTGACTAAAATCACACTTTTGATTAGCTTGTAGTGCAGCAGGGATCTGAAAGGGATGAAAATGAAGAATTTAACTGTAAGCTTTTATCAGAAGCCTGGGGAGGGTTGGTTAAAATGTAGTCCTAGGTCTGACCCAAAGGTTTCAGTAGCTGTGAAGAGGGGTCTGAGACTTTCCATTTCCATAGATAGGTCCAGGGATAACACCATTCTTGGATCAGATCCCTTGACTTAGAGGCACTAGGTACTTCAGCAAGGAAGCATCTAAAGCACTGACTCAAGATCATGGTCAGGAGGCAGACCCTGGCCTACATGGAGAGAGCGTGACCCTTCTCCAACTGTTCCCAGGAAGCCTGAGGTCTTTCTGAACTGAGCTCCCTCATCCTCCAAGCTGCCCCCACAGAACTGCCTCTCTCCACCCTTCCATTGCACTTACCTTCCTCCTCAGATATCCAGGTTACATCCTCCACCAGGGCCACTGCCTCCTGGCAGTCCACTGGGTGCTGCGACTCCACCCACATCCGGAGCTTCCTGGGCAGTGCGCCTAGGAACTGCTCTAGCACCAGGAGCTCCAGCATCTGTTCCTTGGAGTGCGCCTCTGGCTGCAACCACTGGCGGCACAGCTCCCGCAGCCGGGCTAGGGCCTCTCTGGGCCCTGCCACCTCCTCGAAGGAAAAGCCCCGGAACCTCTGGCGTGCAGCCTCGGGGTCACCTGGATGCTTGCCTAGCTGCTGAGTGGGCTCCCCAGGCACATCTAGGCTCAGGCCCTCATCTTCAGCATAGAGGGCCCGTATCTGGGCGTTTCGGGGACGGGCTACCTCTTGGTTCAGTGTGAGGACTTCAACGACTTCGATCTTCATCAGGGGATTGCCAGCAGGAAGAGGATCCAAATGAGGGTCCAACTGGGTTGCAGGATACTCTGTAAGTCAACAGCACAGCCAGACACATGCCAACAAGCATATAAAGATGATCAACATTATTTGCCACTGGGGAAATGTAAATCAAAACCACTGATATACTACCTCATATTCACTAGGATGGCTGTTATCAAAGATACATAACTGCTGGTGATGATGTGGAAAGACTGCTGTTTGTGGGAATATAGAACGCTGCACCATTTTGCAAAACAGTCTGGCAGCTCCTCAAAAAGTTAAACATAGACTTACATTACAACCCAGGAAATCTCCTAGGCATACACCCAAGAGAAATAAAAATAAATGTCAACACAAAAACTTGTACAGGAATGTTCATAGCAGCATTATTCCTAACAGCCAAAAAGGGAAACAACTCAACTGTCCATCAAATGAAGGGTGGATAAAGAAAATATGGTCTACCCACACTATGGAGTATTATTTGGCAGTAAAAAGGGAATGAAGTACTGACGCATGCTACAGTATAGATAAATCTTGTCAACGTTATACTGAGTGCAAGAAGCCAAACACCTAAGGCTACCTATAGTATGATTTCATTACATGAAATGTCCAAAACAGACCAACATAGAGACAGAGTAGTGGTTTTGAGGAGATAGGGAATTGAGGTAATTGGGGAGTGTTGTTCAGCGTTTTTTTTTTTTTTTAGAGAGATGACAATGTTCTGAAATTAGATTGTAGTGATAGCTACATAACCCTGTAAATATAAATAAAAACCAATGAACTGTACACTCTCAAAAAGTAAACTTTATAGAATGTAAATTATATTTCATTAAAAGGTGAAAAGAAATATGAGAAACAAGGAGGATTAAGTAGAGACCTCTGAGGCTGTAGAGGTCTACAGCCATGCACAGGGAATAGAACCTGATCCTGCCTTCATGGGAGCCAAAACAATGACTGGGAAAGTCAGGGCCTCTGTGTCTTGGCACAGGGTTTACAAGAGCAGCTGCTTAACACAACTCCAGCATGGCCCAGAAATGCCAAGGAGGGGACACAAACCAATAGAAAACAAGAAAGTTCTCTACAACTCCAAGAAGAAATGCTAATTGACTAAATGAGTTAAAAGCTTTAAAAAAGCAAAGAGGAAAATTGTAAACCACAGGTCATAATGGTTCACTTCCGATTTGATTTACGTTGCTTTATAAAAACAGAAATGGCAGAATTAATGTCAAGCGCAAAGGTGCCCTCGTACCCTGGCTGTTTTGAATACACGATTAGCACAAGTCTACCTAGAAGGGAATTTACAGCAGGGACTCAAAGCCTTAGCAACGACTGCCCAGGGGAATGCCCAGAAGACTCTCACCAGATTCATCTACTCGTGGTCAGGGAGCTTTTTGAAGAGGAACACAGATGTACAAACACCAAGGGAATGACTACTTGGACACAAAGCAGACCACGTGGACAGTAGAACTCCGACCCTGAAACCTCTGTGGCAACAAACCCAGGACCTGTTTGTCTTTTTTACCCCTGCAAGTCAATAACCTCCTCCGACTCCCCATCTCCCTCACTCCAGTGGGCTCCCACGACAGCCCCTGCCTGTTCTCCTTCGTGTGGTCTTTTTTCCACGACCCACATCTGCTGAGCAGTAGTCTAGGATGGAGCAAAACTGTAAAGCAGGGAGTGTTAAAACATGGCTCAAGAAAATCGTGCAAGATTCACAGGTAGGCATTAAGAGCACTGCTTTGAGTGTGGCTGTTACAACAGAGAAAAGCTTCCGTCACGTGAAGGAAAAAAAGCGAGGCGAAAAATTACCGGTGTGGAGTCACTGCAGCTGTGTTATATAAAAACAAACAAAACCAACTCGGAAAGACAACTAAGAGGAGCGGCGGCCTGCGTGCATCGCGCCAATGTTTTCCTTCCTCGGTGACCATCCTTCCTCGGACTCAAATCGGCTGCCCGCGCCTTTTGAAGCGGTGCTCAGCGGCTCCGCCCCCAGAACGCGGCGATGCCGGGGAGGCTGCTCCGGCAGAGGCCTCAGCCACAAGCACACACTTCCGCTCGCGTTCGGGAAACTGAAGCGAACCCTAGTCCCCATCCCCCCACGCTGGGAAAATGGGGCGACACCGCCCAAGCCCCCACAGCCACGCCCCGAATACCTAGCCCGGAAAAGCGCAGGCCGCAACTTCCGTCCGGGTCTAGAAGTGCGTCACGCGCCGGGCACCGTCACACTACAACTCCCAGGAGCCTCCGCGCCGCAGATTTCCGGGGCCGCCATGTTGGGGGTGTAGGTCCGGCCCGCAGCCTGCCCGAGCCCTGCCCGGATGGTGGGCCCCCTGGCTAACTGCTGAACCCTGGGCTTCGGCCTCTTCCGCTCTCGTTCCCTATCCCCCGATTCCCCGCGACGGCGGACGCGCCCTGGGGCGGCGCGGACGCAGCTGGAACATCTACACCCACCTTGCGGATCTGCAAGTTTTTTCCCTTTGGACGAGCGCGGGGCGGGGGAAAGCGCGGTCGCTTCCCCCAGAAGCAGCGATTCACCCGATTCCTAAACAATCTTCGTGCCTCCGATTTGCAGTCCTTCCTTTGTTCCCGTGGGGTTTTTCCCCCCTCCCCCTCCAAACTTCCTGACTACAAACCTTGGCTCGTCGGTGGTTTCCTCGGTTTACCGGTTTCACCGACCTCACTGGGGCTGTAAGTCGCTAGCGCGCTATCCGAGAAGTGAGTCATCAGCTCGGGGTCAGGAGTCGGCCGCGCTGGGTGGGGCCGCCTGCCGCCCCGGACGGGCCCTGGGCGCTCGGGGTTGCCAAACACGCCCGGGGCCGCACTTTTCATCTTGTATTCCTTTCCTAGAGTTTTTTTTTTTTTTTTTTTTTAGATTTTATTTATTCATGGGAGACAGAGGGTGAAGCAGGCTCCAAGCAGGGACGCCCGATGTGGGACTTGATCCCGGGATTTCAGAACCATGCCGTGTCAAAGGCAGACGCTCAACCGCTGAGCCACCCCAGGCGTCCCTTTTCCTAGGTTTAAAGTGACTTTCTTCTTTGGTAAAATTTACAGCGTTGATCTCCCATTGCCGACCTTTAACCCTAAACTTTCGTATTAATTTCATTTAATTTCATTTGGGGGCTTGCCCTTCCCAACTCGTTTATATCTGCTGTTGTCGTTAGCATGTAATTCCCTTCCTGTTCCTTAGGACTTCTGGGGGTTCATTTACCTCCAAATTCTTGATTTGAAAGCAAAGTACGTATTCCTTTTTTATTGGAGCTCTCAGAGCTCGAAATTCCGTGAGAGTAACTCAGGAAGCCAGAGATGGCAATTTCCCAGATTCCCTTGGACCTTGAAAAGTGCCCGATGTGGGATATTGGGGTGCTGGGGGATAGTTAGCGCTCCCTAGCGGCTCCTTGCTGGGCCACCGGCACCATTTTGAGCATGCATGACACCTAAAAAATGTATCATTCTCCACAATGCTTAGCAGCTAATTTCAAAAACTTGTTTTGTACTCCTTGTTAATCACAGGGATTACTTAGTACTTTATCTTTTAAGAAAATTAACTGTAGGTTCTTTTTATTCTAATCCATCCCATTATTTCTCCTTTAATCCTAATCAGGTATTTTGTTCTTCCTCTTATCCTTAAGGGCACCAGGGAAATTTCTCAAAATCTTGAACTGAATGCTCATTCAAAAATGTTAACTCTTACCATCTTAAGTTTTAAAGCCTCTATAGGTTTGGATGTTGGGAACCCTGCTGATCCTTGTGGTGCTGAGGGCGCTCAGTCGATCTGCAGCCTGGCTCTCCCTACTGTATCAGGACAACACATTCTGCAGGGTTATTGTAAAGCACCTACTGGGTACTATGCAAAAAATGAGATGAGCCACAAGCCTGGAAGCCAGTGGTAAGTGTCATTCTAGGCAGTGTTGACTTCTAAATCTTTCATCCTTTGGACCATCCCCCAAGCCCTCTAAAGTATTCTTTCCTACTGGAAGTAGTCACCCTACTTCACAAAGAAAGTGAAAGAAAGTTTTCCAGCTGGCAGAGTCAGAATTGATCTTCAGCTCACTGGAGCATAGCTGGGACTGACTGATCCACTCATCTGTGTGGAGCTACACAAAATGGTCTCTATCAACTGCAGCTCTAAGTACTGATTTTCTTTTCTCTCTCTCTCTTTTTTTTTTTTTAAGATTTATTTATTCATGAGAGACCCACAGAGAGAGGCAGAGACATAGGCAGAGGGAGAAGCAGGGTCCATGCAGGAAGCCCGATGTGGGACTGGATCCGGGGATTCCAGGATCACATCCTGAGCTGAAGGCAGATGCTCAACCGCTGAGCCACTCACGCATCCCTAAGTACTGCTTTTCAATCCACCAACTGAATGATCTAGGGTGGGGATTTGATCAGTTTAGTCCCCTCACTTGCCAACTATTTAGTGGGTTGTTAAACAAATTCACCAAGCCTTTGGACTAGGGGCTTAATCCTCTGGACCTTAGTTTCCTCTGATTAGATATAGTATGTAAGAAAGAAAGGCTGATGGGAGCTGCTGTTTTCTTCCTCCTCTTACAGTTCCTCTCATGTCTCTGCTGCATCCCTTCCAGGATAAGCCATCTCTCCGTGCTCAGAATTCCATAACTAGCCAGGTATACTAGGGCTGTCAGCCCATAAATTCAACAGTGACCTTTCATGATCTCGTTGGGGGCCAAAGCCAGGAAGAACGCTTATCTCAGCTCCCCCTATCCTTGTGTACACTCCCCTGTACCTTTCTCCTTGTCCAGAATGCCCTCAGCTCTTCACCCTTTCTCCTCCTCTTCCCATCACTCACTCTTCAGCTCAGCTGGGCACCCTATAGCATCACCTTCTAAGTTTGTTTAGTTTGTTTACCCCACTGACCTGCTGAGGATGTCAACTGGGTCTTGTGCATTCGAATTCCTAAAGCCAGGCCCAAAGGAGGATCTGCCAAAGGTGCTGATCATCTTTACATTAAAGTCTCTGAGCAACAAGAGTTACCTGAAGGCCCCCCAAGACCTGGGCTTTACACACCACAGTCCCACTAAGCAGT